GCTTGAACGAAAGCACATGTACGAGAGGGATGCAGCACAATGATTCTGATGGCAACGTTTCGCTGGCTGCTGATGCAGCAACCGCTAGCATGGCCACGACAACAATGAACTGGGGGCTGGTCCAGGCATGTGCAGCGGCGGCAGCACTGGTGGCAATAAAATTCACCCCTGTTAGGCCCGGATGTCGGCACCCACTTGCATCTCACTGGCCACTAGTCGGTCGCTTCACGTTGCACCTGGCAGCAGTCTTGGATATTGGCACGTCAATGCGGTTGTGATTGGCTGCTTGCTGCGTGCATGTATTTGGTTATGTACGTGTCCTGTTAGGCTCTGGTTTAGGTGGAGGCAACCGTTCCCCTGTCGGCTACATGTGCTACATATTTGTAGTGTTCGTCGCGCTGTGTCTCTCAGAAAATGCAGATCCTGCATGCACGAGTGCCATCCATGGTCACAGCCAACAACCAAAACCTCACCGATCTACTCAACCGATGCTAGTCGTTGAATAGCTGCTTTTTGCGGTGATAGCTAGTGTTTCTAGGGTTTTTAGGGTCCTTGAAACCCTAAACGCCTAGAAAAGGCTACACACGGCTGACTGCAGCATTTCGTGCATTACGAGTACGTGTCCAACGGCAGGGACCAGCAACAGGCACAAGCAAGGGATGAATAATTCCATGCTGCCGCCTTCGTGTTGCTGCTATGCTGTCCCGGCATGCATGTTCTGGCTAGCTACGACCAGATACCCCATGTACACATGCACCAATGTGTACACGTACACACACATACATACACGCACACGTACACACCAGGATGGATCATGTTATGGAAAAGCCAGAGCGGATATGTCCCGCGCAAGAGCGATGTGCTGCTCATGTCGAGTTTTGATCTCGAGACCTCCCGCTTACTAAACGGGTGCTCTTCCACTGAGCTACACGAGCGGTTGTGGGTGGAGGGTGTCAAACCCTCGACCTTAGGATAGTCCAAGTCACAGCACGATAACAGCTATGAGACCTACGCGCTAACCACTGCGCCACACCCACACAGACATGCAGCTTCGCGCGTGGCAAGAATTTGCCGTACACCGTACACCGTACACGTACAAATCGTACAGGACGTGCGTACACACGCACCCCCGACGATTGGGCCAAATACGTATACACCACATCTACAGCCAACGCATGCCCGCCTCATTAGCTCTTTATTTTTCCCGGGCATGTGGCCAGGAAGTGTATATCTGTGTGACCATACATATCTGTGTGACCATACACATCTGTGTGACCATGCATATCTGTGTGACCATACATACCTGCTTGCCGATAGCGCGACGTGACGCGCAATCTGTGGTGGTGTAAGGGGACTTCAACAAGTATGAATGTAAATGCCTGGCTGATTATAATCACTCGCCTGGCTGATTCCTTGTGGCTTGTGGCTTTTGGGTGGTGGGTGCTATCCTTACGCAGCCTTGGCTTGAACGAAAGCACATGTACGAGAGGGATGCAGCACAATGATTCTGAT